ATTCACATAACTCTGTCATAAATGAGTTGTAATGTAAGTCCAATGCTTCATTTTCTTTTCAGTGTTCATTATTGCTGCCTTTTATTATCAATATCTTTATAAATCTGATCTTTATTTGTCTTTGGAGGGGATATGAGAATGATAACATCAGCAAATTACTCATTGCAACATTGTATGCAGTACCTGTTACTGATGATCAGATGCAAAACCAACCAAACAAAAACAAAAACAAAAAGAGCAGTTCTTATACCTTCTCCAGCATGTTGTAAATTAGGGACTACCTGTATAAGAAGCAGACTTGTCTGAGGACAGGACCCAAATTCAAGTTCTGATTGTGAATCTGAACATAGGTATGTCACTTCCCATCTCTAAACCTGTTACTCCACGTTCAAAGTAGAGGAGATAGTAGCTACTGTGAAGTGTGAACTTTGAGTATACAAAGTGAAAGCATTTTGCAACCTGTAAAGCTACACAGATTAAGATACCACTATATAGCTAAGATTATGAGAAGTGAGAGGTAGACATTATAAGCTATGTATTTCTTAAGGGCACTGAAGTTGAGACGTTAGTCTTCCTTCTTTGATCAACGATCCACATCTTCTTGTACTACAGAGTGATTAAATCCTTATTCCAAACAGACATTAAAAGTTGTTTGACCTGCTTGCTTTGGAGTTTGCTTAATTGGAGAATTATAATTTTAACTAGCAAATAAAGTAATAAACCAGACAAATTTCTTTCAAAAGTTCTATATCTGTCCACATTTCCATGAATGAGGAAGTATATTGGTTATACACATGCTATATCATTACTTTTTCAACTTTGAAATTGCATTATAATTATAAAACATTTAGACATATGAACTGCTTGATTTAATCATATATAATAATCTATTATTTATGTTATTAGATTTTATGTTACTAAATGCATTGAAATTAATAACACTACCTCAGGAAAAATTTTAAACTTGGGTGGCTAAAGAGAGGGCAAGTTCTCAGAGAAGTAGGAACAAGTATATTCTTTTTAGAACTTACTCTATATTCAGAATATCAACATGTTTCTTGTAAGGACTGCTTGGAAAAAATATTTTTATCCGTTTTGATTGAATAAGATCTGTGGGTCTTAGTTTCTTAAGGAATTACAAATCAAATTTCAGTACATAATAACAAGTTGTCTAATATAAATTCCAAATAAATTGTAACTACATTTCACTTTTTCCCTTTATGTTTGATATGCTGCCAGAAGTCTAACTTATTCATTCTAGATGTCACTTTTCTATCTCCTGAAATATTTAAAGGGGAATAAGGCAATTATTTCAATTCTCACAATACGCTTGAGTCTTCCCAGCATAGAGACCGTATTTCTTGATTTCTCTTTGTATCCACAGCACCTTGGACAGTGCTGGACACACACTAGGCACTTAATATGTATTTTGGAATAAGTCAATACACGGATCATTTTATTGTGATACCGTGTTCGTCTTATATGCCATTGGAGACATTAATCACCATGGATTGAACATCTTTTTATTTTGCTCTACTGTTACTGCTTGTATGTAAACTACTTCTAAAGTGTTTTTATTTCATTTTTAATGCAAGCTGTTACACTTGGAAAATAAAATCACTTAGACTGAAATTCATGTCAGCACAAACAATTGTTATTATTTCAAGACACTAACCTCCTTTTACCTGCAAAACTACTATATGTACTATAAAATAACTATAATTTTAGAAATGGCCCTTTCAAATGCAGGGCTTACTTTTATTCCCATCAAGATCACGGTGGAATTCTTGGAGGTAGCAAGGGAGGTCCTCATAAAATTGAGAAGGAAAAAAAAAAAACTTGACGGGAAAAGAGAACTTTCAGTCAAATTTTAAAATATTGTTACTGTGTAGCAATAGGAACTAGCGTAAATTACAAAGGCACGAATTCTCTTTTAAACTTTTATCATATCCATACACTTCCTGATTTCTGTTATCCACATGCACTGAAATAAAGATCACGGATCCCAAGAATTGTTCCTTCTCTTCACAGTGGAACCTGGAACTTGATGGAAGAGGAAGGCAAATGTAGGGAGGGCAAACCCATCCACCAACGGTCTCTGTAAACGGGTATTTATTCTGTTTGCACGAAATTAGTCGTGGTTTCTCGATAATCCTTTGTCTTATGGGTTGGTGCTTCTGGCAACCATTATCTACTCGTGCAACCGACGTCTGAAGACTCCGCCCGGGATGGGGGTGGGGACGGAGCACCGCGTGGAGAGCTCGACTGAGAATTAAAGTGAATGAACAAAGAAAACTAGCAGCCGCCCGCCAGCTCCTCGCAGCTGCTTCAGTCAGGCCCGGATGGCTGTTCGAATCCGCCTTCCTGGGAAATGAGCTCAAGTAAATAATTGATGGAGTTTGATCCGGCCCAGGAAAGCTTTGCAGAACCAGTATATCCGATTGCAAGCGGATTTGGAAGCTTCTGCCAAGTACGGGAGGTGGGAGAGGAGCAAAGAATTGGAGCGAGGCTGGAGCACTCGCATCTTGGGCGTGGCTCTGGCCTTTTGTCTTCTTGCCCTCCCGCCCCTGCCTCTTTCCTCCTCAAAGTAACCTCTCTTTGGTTACTTCTCCCCTGCGGTCCCTTGCAGTCCCGCCCCTCCCCTGCCCAGGCGAGTGAGGTCAGCTCATGAATATCACTGCACTTCCTGGGGAGCGTCTGGCACCGCTTGGTACCTCACGGATTCGCCCGTTAGGAGCCGCAGCTCCAGCCCAGCCGCGGACCGCCGGGAAGTAATGCCTGCTGGGGCCGCTGCAAGCTGGCATTAGAACCATCGTTTGGAGAAATCCCGTGGGTGTGAAACCGGGGCGAGTGGGCCCAAAGACGTGCTCCGCGAGAAAGTCGCAGATAAGACTTTCAGTTGAACTTTCCTTGGCTCTGGAAAATACAGTAAATCCTGAGGTCCTCTGAAGATCAGGAGGAAAGCGCCTTTGATTTGCTTCAACTTCGAAACATCGCCTCTACTGAGAAGTGAGCAGTTCTAATTTCTAAAGGGATGAGGAAGATAAATGGGATGGGTCAGCGAGCAGATAAAACTTGAGTTTCACAGTGTTGGTTTGGGCACAACTGGGGTTGATTGGGTGGCGATTTTCACCGGGGAAGCCTTACACAGACGCAGCGTATTGTCACTTTGTGAGAACCACGTGACAGCTGCCAGGTTGTGGAGCCGAGATCCAGGAACGCGATCCATCTCCTGGGTAAAATCTGTCTGGGGACCTGGATTTAAGCATTCCCGGATTTTGTCCTAGCTCCAAGGTGATTCTGACTAATTAGAAATGAAAATAAGGTTGCAATATTACTTGCCTGTGTAATTCTCATTAGTTTGACCCATTAGGATGAACTAGGCCATTCTAGGAGCCTTATGGGTCCCAGAGAATGTGTAGAAAATAAGTTGATGGGTAACTGTATTTTTAAATTTAGTACCTTTTTTTGTTCTCCCTTGTTTTCCAAAGGAGTTGGAAGGAGATAGAGGAAAGAGAAAGAGAGGTAGGAGGGCACCTCCAATAATATTTCCTTATAAAATAAGAAATGACTTGCAATTGACTTAGTGATGATTCTTAAAATAGATGATAACATGAATAATACAAGTAAAGTGACTGGCAATCATCTCCTCTCAATAGGAAGAAATTTTAAAACCAGATCATTCTGCCTAGTCATGCCATTTTGAGTTCTTTAGATAGAAATAATGTATCTAAGGAAAAAGTTTCTAGTTGACTGGCTGGCTGGGTCACTGGGGAGAAGAAACCACAAGGCAGTGGCTCGCTGTTTTCCAAACCAAATAAACCAGTGATGGATTTATCTTGGAAGAAGATTTACTTTACCACCATGAGTGAGAATGCACCAGCCTTCTGGGTGCAGTGTTATGCTATGTTAGAATTCAGGAGGAAATACTGTGCCCATGATATAAGCACTTCAAGAAGATGCTTATGAATGAAGATATTTCTAGCAATTACACCTGAAAACTAAAATGATTCCACAACTATGAAATTCTGTAAGTATAGAAGAAGTCATCACCTGTAACTTAAGAAACTGTAGACTGCCCATCTACTTTTCTATAAGTACTTTAAAAATTATTTCCTAAAGCTGAAAAAAAAAATCCCCTTATGGTTGTGAATGACTAACCAATATAAGTAATCCTTAATGCCATTATTTTCTTAAACCTGAGATTGATTTAGTTAAAGTCATTCATTGTTTATATTTTCTTTCAATTCTAGTTTAAAGACAACTGGGTGTATCTCTTTAAACAAAGACAACATTAGGAGTTGGAGCTGTGGCAGGAAAGTGTCACTAACCTATAGAAAAATTTCCCTAGGAACCCAAATCTAACGTTTTCCTCTAATTGAAGCTTGGGAGTGCTAATTAAATAAAACTTTATTGACTACATTTGTCTTCAAAGGCATATTAGATGCTGAGAAAACCCAAAGCAGAAAAAAGCACGTGCTGCCAACTCTAGCATGTGGACATCTCCATTACCTTTTGAGTTTTTTTTTTTTTTCTTCCCTTCTCCTCTTCTTTTTTATAATCTCCCTTTTCATCAGTTCCTTTCTGATTCTGTATCTCACCCTCTCCAAAACCTGCTACTCTAAGAATGTTAGGTTCTGTTGGTTTTTTTTTTTTCAGATTTGTCATCATTTACTGGGATGCGGACAGAGCCTCACTGGGCAAAATGGGAAATGACAATTCTACATACTGTTCCTAGGCTTCACCCTTTATCTCCTTTGAGAGCAAAGACTGAATTAGGATCCTTTCAAATTTCATCATTTTCAAGGGCTTCTCTTGTAGAGCAAAATCATCCTTTGCTCTTTCATAATACAGACATACTGTCTGATTCCTTTCTTTTGTTTCTGTCCCAGAAAAAAAGGAAGGTTACAAAGGAAGGTTTGTGGCGGCGAGGAGGGGAGAGGATGACCTGGTAATGGACGATTCCAAATCGCGTCCGGTTAAGTTCTTCCTACACCGCCATGAGTCAGCCACCGATCGGGGGCGCTACACCTGCTACTGCAGCTTCAGGCTCCGCCGCTGCCGCCACTGAGGCTCGCCTGCATCCGGAGGGTAGCAGCAGAAAGCAGCAGCGAGCTCAATCACCCGCCAGGCCGAGGGACAATTCGATCAGACAGACCACCGCGGCCCCTCGGTCCCCAGTGGGGGCTGGCACTAAGCTCAATTCTGTTCGGCAGCAGCAGCAGCAAGGCAACAAGACCGGCAGCCGAGCCGCGCCGGCAACCAGCGCCCGGGGAGGCGGAGGCGGAGCTGAGAAGGCGGCGACCCAGGCTCCCAAAGGCGCTGGGTCCGGAGCTGTCCAACCTGCGCCTGGTGCTGAAGCTTTCCCGGCGGCGACCCTGGCCACAGTGGGTGGCAAGAGGCCGGGCCAGCTGGAGGAGTCGCCCAGGGAGCTAGAGTTGGTACCTTCCAAACTCGGGGAACCCCCTCCGCCCAGGGAAGGAGGAGGAGCCGGCGGAGGCCCGGGAGAAAGGGAGGGGGGCGCGCCGCCGCCGCCGCCCAGGGGCTGGCGAGGGAAAGGCGTGCGCGCTCCGCAGAGGGGCGGCAGCAGCGGGGAGGAGGCCTCCCTTTCACCATCCTCCTCTTCTGCGGGCAAAACCATAGGCCCCAGCGGCAGAAACCCCGGAAGCGGTATTGCGGGGGGCGCCAGCAGCGGCGGAGGGACCTACTGGAAGGAAGGATGTCTGCAGTCTGAGCTCATCCAGTTTCACCTCAAGAAGGAGCGGGCGGCGGCGGCGGCGGCGGCAGCCGCAGCTCAGATGCACACTAAGAACGGCGGCGGCAGCAACAGCCGCAGCTCCCCAGTCGCCGGCGCCAGTGCCGTTTGCGAACCCCTTGCGATCTCTTCCGCCTCCCCAATGGCGGCGGCGGCTGAGGGCCCCCAGCAGAGCGCGGAGGGCAGCGCGAGCGG